GATCACCATGTGTTGCAGAGGTGCTGGACGGCCGCTCCCGGTGGCAGCAGAGCTTCCGTGAAGGACTCGGAGCTGACATTCCCGCTTTGAAAATCATCCGGCAAAGAGAGCGGTGAACAGGGACAGTCAGCGCGAGGCACACAGTCGCCCCTGTGCAACACCTACAGAGGGCACGACGAGACAATCAGTTAGGACTCACATCTGCTGTCCAACCACACACACACACACACACACACACCTGTCCAGGAGGGCATGTGCACCCCGGCGTGCAGGGTCCAGGTAAACACTGAGTGTGTGGCCACAAGTCCTGGCAGGTATACGGACAGGAAGCTGAACAGTCGCTGGACACCTGCGTGCCGGGACACTCTGCAGGAACAGGAAGCGAATGAGCTCGACTGTAACAGGTCGGCGTGCAGACGTGTAGACGCACAAAGTGCAGTGTTGTGTGTGCTTGTGTTACCGGGCAGGCAGCTGTTGGTGTTACAGACAACGTGCTGTTCAAGCGGCCCGACGCAGGCCGTCCCGCCGGGCTCTGGCTCTCGAAGGACCGTCTTGTTCCGCAATGACGACCCGCCGCCACAGGAGGCGCTGCACTCGCTCCAGGCTGACCACTCACTCAGCAAACAACCCGCTGCAAAGAGAGGCGAGTTAAGCAGAGATTAAGGAGGTAAGGGGACGCCAGACTTGCAGGTAAAATCTCAGGATGTCAGACCTGGACACGATGGCAGGTCACAGATTTCTGTCTGCGTGATTTCGGCACAGGGCGGGCCGCCCTCGGTGTCCTGGCAGCGGCGCGTCCTGGTTCTCCGGCCTCGCTCACACGAAGCCGAGCAGGCGCTCCACGGACTCCAGGGCTCATAGACTGGACAGGGAAGCTGGGAGCACACCACGGTGCCGTTCTCACACACACTGCACACGGAGGAGCGTTAAGAGTGAGACGGAGCAAAGTTTCTGAACTAAACGCTACAAAAAAACTGCAGAATTTGAAAAACTGCTTTATTAATCCCAACTATGACCATACGTCAGCTCATAGCAGGCTCACCAGGTGTTACAGTCCACAGGAAACTCCTCATCAGGGATGAACTCCAGCGTCCCGTTGCCTGACGGGATACCACAACGACATTCTGTTACTGGCACGCAGCGGCCATCTTGCAACAGCTGTCCTTCTGGACACCGACAACCTGAGGAGACAAAAACAAAAAAGAGACAGAAAAGTAAAGAAACAGAGAAACAAAGTAATGAAAAGTCTTATATTAGGAAGATGTTATCCATGGTTACCCGGGTGACAGGCTCCTTGGAGACACTGCACATGCTCCCACAGGTCAGTGCAGCTGCGAGGACACTTGTTGGCACAGCTGTCCTGGTAGGCTCGATCCCTGTCCTCACAGCGCTCACCTGGAAAAGCAAAGAAAATCACGCCTGCGCTGCAAAATGTGAGCTGACGTAGAAACAGAGCTCAGCACGGTGGTGGTGTGACGTGAGACAGACTGATACTCGTAAGGACAACGTTTTGTCTTCAGGCTGATTTAAAGCCTTCAGAGTCGCTGCTCACCATCCATGTACACACAGATGAAACACAGGCTTTTAGTCTTTTAGTGCATCCTGACTTATTTTATTTCAGCTTCAGAACGAACTGAACTTCTTATAAAATTC